CAGGAAGGCTTTTAAAAGACTACACCTGACAATCGCCTCACAACACCCGACTCTGTGAAACACAACTGATACTCTACCCAAGCATCAAGATATTTTACTTGTCTAATGTATCAATACATTCTTCCCAAACTTTATTAATTATAAATGAATCCAATTTATATAAACCAAAACAAATATTCATTTTATTTTCAAAACTGTTTTTTATTATTATAATGGAATCACGTTTAATAAAGAGCAGTTTTGAAAATATGAAAATTTCTTTTGGTTTATTTGTATTGGATTTATTTATAATTAATAAAATTTGGGAAGAATTTAATGATACATTAGAAAAATTGAAGATTGAGACACTTAGGCAACATATGGGAATCTTTATTGAGGAAACGTTTTGCCACACAGTGGCTTCATCAGTCCAGTATAAAGCAGAAAGGTGTAAGGAGAGGAGGAGTTGAGGTAATCAGTCCCTCAGCCTGGAGTTGATGTGTTCAGTCCATCAATCTTGTAGAATGTACAGCATAGGGCCGTAGACGTAGACCTACTTAGACTAGTGGATGGTACCACTTTGACCCCGCCTCCTCCTGCTTCGCCTCACCTGACTACAGTATATAAGCCACGTCTACGGCCCTATGCTGTACATTCTACAAGATTGATGGACTGAACACATCAACTCCAGGCTGAGGGACTGATTACCTCAACTCCTCCTCTCCTTACACCTTCTGCTTTGTATTGGACTGATGAAGCCACTGTGTGGCGAAACGTTTCCTCAATAAAGATTCCCATATGTTGCATGTCTCAATCTTCAACTTGTCGGTTTTCAAGCCGTTCGTCACACATTAGAAAAGTAAAAACTCTTAATGCTTGGGTAGAGTATCTGTTGTGTTTCACACAAATGAGATCTCTCAAGGGCGGAACCTTGATGCCAGTAAGCTCTTCATCCAAACAATTGCCTTCCATTCTCCCAGGCTCTTCATGACCCCTACGAGTACGGCGTTCCTTCTCAATGTAATAATAATAATAAGTAAATTTTATAACAAATTGTCTGAATATGGAATAGAAAACAAATGATCATTTAACTGAGCAGGATAAAAATAATCTGATTGTGTAAACCATCTTCGTTTTTTTACTGGAGTTTCCTAAATAAATACACCAATACAACATTTAACAAATATTCATGAACATAAATAATAGACATTTGAAATAATATAAGATGTTCTTGTAGTTCGCTGTATCTCTTGTAACAGAACGAAGACGACGATAACTTCACGGTATTGTTATGACCGGAAGGTTATTAACTTAGCATTACCCAAGAAAACTGTTTGGCTGATTTCCGTTGGGGGTCTTTTAGTCCTCTGCATGAAGACGCGACACATAATAGTCTATCAATACCCAGGTACCTTATGCAGAATTAGGACACTTTAGTCCGAATCGTTTCGCGCACTACAGTAGGCTTCTTCAGTCGAATACAGAAAGTAGGCAGGAACAGTTGAGATGTGAAGACGATGTAATCAGTCCATCAGTCTTCACATCTCTACTGTTCCTGCCTACTTTCTGTATTCGACTGAAGAAGCCTACTGTGTAGGCGTAAACGTTATCAGATAAGTTGTCTAACTGTGATATGTGTCTTACCTCAAAACCTGTCGGTATAGTATACCATTTTCGATAGTTCACGCCAGGTACCTATTTACTGCAAGGATAATTAAGGCAGTAGGACTCGATTCGCAAAGGACTGATCAGAGATCCTTTAGCTAATGAGTCAAACAAAGAGCTAAAACATCCTTAAAATACCTTAAGTGACTGGAAGGAAAACACTGCCTGCCATTTCCTTAAATATGAGATCATATTGAGTTCCATAAGATCGTATCTTGGGACCCATCTTCTTCTGCCTATAAGTGTTACATGCAAAATCCTAGTGTATACAGATAAACTAACATTTTCTATCAGCATTAATATCATTGTTTGCTCTAGGATTCAACATAATTTATGATAACACTTGCGTTCATAAAAGTTCAAAATTCAGCAAAAAAAAAAAAAAAAAAAAAAATTACAAGTAAAATAAAAGTTTTTTCAGTCTCTGAGAATTAAAACTAAACTGTTATTGCAAAGAAAAAATAAGCCCTATAATAAGCACACAAGTTTCTCATAGCTTTATCATAATTCACCACAACAAAGTACTTTATGGCAATCTCTTGATAAGTGTTAATTCACGATATAAGGGAATTCTGACATCGTTAAAAGCAAAAATTTTCTGACCAGTTTCATTAAGGTCATAAGCTGCAACATAGAATCCAAAGTTTTGCAATAGTCGCAGGGTTTTCAGTGTTATCCAAGTTCCTTCGAAGATAACATTCGCATCACTGACATGGTTAAGAAAATCTAGATGAACTTCCAATAGAATTTGATGTGTATATTGTAGGAGTTGCTTGGCGTCGGGAGAGTTTAAAATTTGGTTCAGGACTCTCCATTCTATACCTTCAATGTCTAGCTTGAGGATATCGACGCGGGGGTTGTCAAGTGTGTCGAGAATGGCTTTATAGGTGAGATATGTCGCAACACTGCTAATGTAGTGGTCACCATTCATCGTTAAGTTGAGTATCATTGTAGTGGGCTTGTCATCGATGCCCAGGTTAAGCGCGTGGAACTTCCTGGTATGCATATTACTGTTTGTGTTTATTCTCTTTACAATATCAGTTATATTAGCATCATAAACTGAGTTGGTTATGTTAGCATTAGTAGGATCAAGAGCAATAACCTGACATCCGTAATTAACCAAGACCTTATCAAAGGTCATTTCAAAGCCTATGCCGAAGTTGAGAGCGAGACAGCTGCCGGGGACAGGTCTGACGTCTTCATCCAGACACACTAGCTTGGCACCGTCTAAAGAACAAGTCTTGGTCTCACAGGAACAGGACAGCTTGCCGCCCATCTTCACCATGCGTTTACACGTGGTAGCTATGGTACTAATTCCTTGTCTGAGTCTCTCCAGCTCTGCTTTTATATCCGTGTCCGTCACCATAATATTGTCTTCCGTATCTTCACTCTTTCCTCCTTTGTCTTCTCTATTTCGCCTCATCGCCTCACTGGCGGAATGGAGTAGGATGAGAGAACACAGAATCGTGATAATAATAATAAGATAAGTGCGCTTTTTGAGGTTCCGTCCCCACACCCCCACAGAATGTAAACTCCTGTGACAGGCCATCACAATGATCAGATAAACACACTTGACTTTGCCACCACCAGACACAAGTGTGACTCACAACTGATAAAGAAGGATTTTTCCTACTTCCACTTCCTCCTACTAGAGTACTTGCTAGCAAGCAGCATTTTAAACAAAACTTCTATTAGAAATTCATTATGGCTTTCCTTTTTGAGTACTTTTAAAATAGTTTTTTGGTAAAAAGTACATTTAAGTGGGGGAAAAAATTTTGGGGAAAAATTAAAAAAAAATTAATATTTTTTTAAAAAGGGAAACTTTCCAAAAAGTTTTAAAATTTAAAAATTAAAAAAATATTGTACTTAAAAACCGATTCTAAATGTACTTACAAAGTAAACATCAAAATTTAAAAAAAATATTTATAAAGGGATTTTTTTAAATATATTATTTAAACGCAAAAAAAAAGGGTTTTGGGTACCTTTCCCCTGTCTCAAATGGGGGGGCCCCTTCAAAAAAACCTTTGTAACTCGATTTTTATTTTGATTTTCCTGCATAAAAAAAAATATTCCCCCCCGGGGGCTTGTTTTTTCAGGGAATTTTTTTTGGGGGTATTTTTAAAATTAATCTCCCAAAAATAATTTTAAAATCGAGCGTATTATTCGTCCAAGGGAGGGAAATTTGAAAAAGAAAAAACTTTCCGAATACTGATAAGTTGATACTGTAATTTTTCATCTTTTACAGGTTATTTTCATTTAACCCCCAAATCGCTTTGGGTTTGATTGACCCTATTTCAGAAAAGGGGTTTATCTCTGGGAGGATCAAAATTTTGTTTCCTGGCTAACTCATGCCCCTATTTGAGGGAAATCTGAATTGGTAGTTTAAAATGATACTTGGGGATTTCTCAATACCTTCGTTACGTAGGGAATAACCCACATTCAGGTTTATCGTCTGATGGTATCAGGGTAGAGATTTCAGGATCAGGAGGGTTGTAAGACTGTCAATCAGTTTTGGGTTTGGGGTTAAATATTATCATCACATACTAATCTTCATATGATCTAAATGAATTTCTTTGTTTTTGAAACCCGTACTAATTTTCCTCTTAAACCCTTAATTTCTTATTTTTCCATTTGATATTTTTAAATAGGAAATTTAAGGGCGTTTTTTTAAAAATTTTGTCAGCTAACTCTCGAAAACCAAATTTTTATTTTTGGCGGCTTTTCTCGGGGTGTTAGAGACTCTTTTGAACTCTGGGTGTTGAAATTTATGAAGTGTTTCACGGATCTTCTAAAAACACTTTGAGCTAAGCTGGTACGAGTTGCTATGAAATCATCAGGGTTGTAATTTGATTTCGGGTTAGAATATAACAACTCATAAGGCAAACGTTTATCTACACCGTACAATGCATAATGTGGAGTGTCACCTATAGAAACATTATAAGCAGAATTTATAGCACACTGCACATCAGTTACAACTTCATCCCAAGTTTCACTGTTGGGATTGATAGTGGCTCTCAAGACATCAAGTACTTTCTTATTGGTTCGTTCCACTAACCCATTGCTGGCAGAATGATGAGGAACAATGGTGGATTTAGAGATCTTGTACAAGGTACACAAATTTTCAAGAATCTCATTACAGAATTCACCACCATTATCTGTTACTAGGGACTTAGGGGTGATATGCCTGCAGATAATGCGTTCTTTAAATGCTTTAGCTACTGTCTCGGCAGTCTTATCTGCAATAGGAACTACTAACTCACAATATCTGGTGAAATGATCTACCATAACACACAGATGTTTGTTGCCTTGGAGGGAACATTGGAAATTAGTTAACAAATCTAGCGCAACTCTTTCCCACGGTTCGCTAGTAGTTGGATACACTTGGATTGGATTAGGACCATTAGCATTACCTTTATGTTGCATGCAGACACTACATTTCTTAACATACTCAGAAATATCAGTTGCCATACGAGGCCAAAAGTATTTCAATCTGGCTTGTTTTACTGTACGATCCATACCAGGGTGCGCAACACCTGGTACATAGTGAACTAGCTGTAAGGCTACATTCACTAGTGACTGTGGAATTACTAACTGGTATACTCTTCTGCTAGGAGTACCCAACTCGGCTGTTCGATACAGTAATTCTTGGTTCATGACAAAGTCACTGATGGGTGCTTCACAGTCAGAATAAGATCTTCCTGGAGCAGGAATCGAATCACACCAGACCACATGGGATCTGCTCGTTGAGCATTCTTTACATCCTCAGCACTAAATGGAGGTTCTGCAGTTACTATACTAACATGTCGCGATAAGGCATCTGCGACTACATTTGACTTGCCAGGTAAATGTTCAAAGGTGGGATTGAACTCTTGGATAGTCAAGGTCCATCTGGTTAACCTTCCAGTAGGTTGTTTGTTCGGGAATAAAGGTATCAGTGGAGCATGGTCTGTCAAGACATGAACAGAGTACTGATAAATAATGTCTCGGAAGTGCTTTAAAGACCATACTATTGCTAAAGCTTCTTGCTCAGTTACTGTATAATTACGTTCAGCCATCGTAAGGCCTCGGCTAGCAAATGCAACTGCGTTGTACTTGCCATCAGTCTTCTGAGCTAGTACGGCACCTATGCCAATAGAACTAGCATCAGTTGTCAGATAGAAGGGCTTAGAAAAGTCTGGAAATTTCAAAATTGGAGCAGATGTTAGCTTTTCTTTTAAAGTTTGGAATGCTCTCTCTTGATGGAAGGTCCAAACAAAAGGAGCATCTTTCTTAAGCAACTCAGTTAGAGGAGCAGCTATGGAAGAAAAAATTGGCAATGAAAGATCTATAAAAACCTGCTAAACCCACAAAGGATCTTACAGCATCAGCAGTTTTGGGAGTTGGAAAATTTAGTACTGCAGTTACTTTGGTCGGTCGTAACACCTCTAGGAGTGACTACGTGACCAAGAAACTTGATTTCTGATCTGAAAAATTGACATTTAGACAGTTTGATCTTTAAATTGGCTTCTTCAAGCTTACCAAGTACTACATCAAGTCTTTTCAAGTGTGTATCCACATCTTTAGACATGACGATTACGTCATCTAAGTACACCATAAGTGCATTACCTATGAGACCTCTAAAGATATTAGTCATGAGCCTTGAGAACGTGATAGGGGAGGATCGTAATCCAAATGCCATACAGAGGAAGTGATAATGACCTGTAGGAGTGGAGAATGCAGTTAGCTCTTGGCTGTCCTCGTGAAGAGGGACTTGCCAAAACCCTTGTAACAAATCCAGGGTTGAAAAGACTTTGTTATCTCCAATGTTACGTAAAGATCACCCATGTACAGGAAGTGGGAAGCGATCTGGAATAGTTTTCGCATTTAACTTCCTAAAGTCAATCACTGGGCGCCAAGTACCATCCTTCTTAGGCACTAGGATCAAGGGCGCATTCCAAGGTGAATTGCTAGGTGCAATAACTCCATCGTCAAGCATTTGATTGATCAATTCTTCTGCGACAGCAACTTGTGAATGAGGCATTCTGTACACAGGTATATAGATGGGTCTAGTACCAGGTTCAAGTGGAATACGATGGGACAATAAGTTCGTTATACCATCTTCTCACCTGGTAAGCAATGGCTTTACGACGTTTGTTCAACAGAGTCAAAAAACGCTTGACTTCATCTGGGAAGTCAGTGGGAGCTAAGCCTTTCTCTTCAACTGGTGGAACAGATTGATCCAGTGAAGTGGATGAGGGTCTCCCCGGTAGAAATAGCACCGCCCCACTGGTCGGGTGACAACTCACCCTCTACCTGAACAGGGTAAGGAAGTGAAACAAGGCAACAAATTGGTATTTGCTCGAGCAAACACTGTGACCAGAAGTGTTATAGGGAAAAAATGGATTTTACATCTTTACAACTTTAAAGGGATGTTCAACAAAAAACCCTTTTTTACTTTGCAAAAACACTGAAAACTGGGACTTATCACCATCGGAACAGGGGAAACAACAACAACCCTATGAGGGCATAGCGCGAAAAAAAACGTCTTTCGAAACGGCATGTAATCAACAAGAGATGGCAAAACTATTGCAAGTAATCATTTTGGGGCAAGGCGCCCCCTGTGGGAAACTACTACTTAAACTAGCAGAATTGCAGGGATGGGCTCAGCCCCAAAGGAAAACAGAGCGTCCTGGGACAATTGGGGTAACGGAACTTTTCAAGTCTAAATTGCAGGAACACAGACAGGAGGGGACAGGTCCCCAGTGCCTGACCGTTTGGGTCGCTACTAAAATAAAGGCCTGTAAGGACTTAACAACGCGTATTCGCGGCAGTAGGCAGATCTCGGATCAAGTGGAAACCCCAAAAAAGGTACGATCAGTCACAATTTGGGCATGCCAGGGAAAGGGGTCAGCACAATGCATAAGTCCCGCTGGAAGCAAATTTTCCAAAGGTCCCAGGAAAAATCTGGTCGAAAAAAGGAAGGAAGCATGAAGTCTCTACCTTGGATAGAAAAGGTGGGGGGAATCCGACCTGGGGACCGCAGGTAAAACCCACTATCCATAAGGGAGGACACAAGTCGGTTCTACAGGGGGACATGTCGAAAAACTGTTATCCCAAAACAAACTCCCCTTATAATAATGATTTTGGCCACCAGAGTCCATAAAAAAATGAAGGGCGATTATAAAACAGATGCTTCATATAGGCCTAGGGTTGATTGGAACTTTGTGCAAAAAAAGGGGTGGATTGTCATCAAAAAGTTTTTTCCCAATTCATCCCCAAAATCATCACGCAGGAGGGTGTGAAAAAAAACACACCGCGGATTGCATTCTCGAGACTGTTTAAGGCTTCAAAGGAATTGTGAACGGGGGGTGAAATCATTATCACCTACTGCACCAGGGGAGGGTTTGACGGGCGCTCGAATTCCCCCGAATTGGAAGAATGAGCCTGGTTCGGGTTTTAGTTTGAAAAACCACGACGTCTTTTTCCCTCACGGGTTCTGCGGGGGGAAACGGCCACGGAAA